GGCAAGGGGAAGTGAGGAGTCTAAACTACCGACACCAGCATAGGTTGGAATCGAAGCACTGACGAGTACTTGGTGTACAGCAGAGAGCTTTTGCAAGATAGCATGCATGCCAAGATGAGTGTGTGAAAGAGATACAGAGTGTGGGAAACAGGGGTGAGGAGAGACGGCAAGAGGAGAGATGGACCTGAGGAGGGCGAAACGGGAATGCTAAAGGAGTGTAAAGTATGGACGACAGCGTTGGGCAGAAACCAAAGCAGTTAGGACTCAGAGGAGTCCCTTTTTTTTTTTTTTTTTTTTTTTTTTGAAGCATTGAGGAATCTTGGTGTGCGGCAGAACATTTCTTCGATCGTATACCCAAAAAATAGTTTGTGACAGTACATGTAGTGGCTTATGTGCTTTCTTCGGCAGAGCAAAACTCTGGCAAGCCCGTGAGATCGATCACCGCCCTTGCGAGGGGGGTGAATGTGATGTGCGCTGAGACGACGAACCCGTTTCCCATAACTATGCCGTTGCGAGTTTTATCAGAATGTTAGTTCGAGGCCCGTGCATGGGTTCTAGCCTCTAGGCCCGTGCACGAGGTTCCAGCCCCGTGCATGGGTTCGAACCACGTTGTGATCGGTGAGTTTTAGCAGAAAGGGAGTTGGAGGCCCATGCATGACTTCCGGTCCCGTGCATGGGTGTTCGAAGTTCGAACCATTGTTGTGATAATAGCAACCCCTTTTGAGCTAAGATGAGCAGAGTCAGTTGGTCGGTCCTTTATTACGGAGTTCCCATGCGCAGTAGGGATGAGGTGGGGGTGATGACAAATAAGGAAGGTGGAGCGGAGAATTCGTAGCGCAGATGCTGCTACGACGGCCGCTGTCACCCATGCCCAGGACACGCCCCCGATAAAAGTTTCAAAAAATGGCATGTTGGTCGAAGAGCTGGTCGAATGAACAATGACCATAACAGTGGTTACATGCATGCATTCCCGTAGCGTCCCTGGCCTTGGAATTGACATGTAACACGTGATGTCTGGTGGGTGTGGGTAGAGGGTGCACACAGTCGGGAAAGGAGGGGCAGCCTTATTGGGATGTGGTCGCAGCAAGCATGGCATTGCATAATTGTACTACTGTAGTGGTTCCCACGGAGAGAGAGCATTACTACGGTAGTGGTTCCCACGGAGAGAGAGAGAGAGAGAGAGAGAGAGAGAGAGAGAGAGAGAGAGAGAGAGAGAGAGAGAGAGAGAGAGAGAGAGAGAGAGNATCTGTAGCCGTTCGGAAGAGAAGGTCACAGAGTGTCGATGCTTTGCTCTGCTCCGGCTCAGGGCCGGGAGAGTAAGGGGATGCTCACTCGAGGACTTTTTAGACTCGGCTCTGGACGTGATTGCGGTCAGATACATCAAGAGCTGGCCGTAATTCCAGTCAGAGACGTTTAGGAAAGCGCCAGTTTGAGTATGGCCTACACGATCCTCCGTGTATAAGAGTGTGCGGATGTTTTTTTTTTTTTTTTTTTTTGCCATAAGCAAGACAAGAAAACATCATTTGCTTCAAAGGACACTGCCGGTCTCAATTGTAGCATGAACCTCCATCGGCGGTCAGAGGCGTGTACAGAGCATGCAGGCAGAAAGGTGGGACAAAGGATAAAAGCACTGCATATTTTTATTATTTTATTATGGCTGTGGGTGGCCTTTTTATTCTGCGGGCACCTTGCTGGCTCATGATGGGTTGTGAACCCACTAACTACAGTCTGTAGGGTCTTTCTGTCTGGTGTGGGTATGTGGTGTGTGGGTTGGTGGGTGGGTGGGTAAATAATCTGATTTTTTTCTTCTTTTGTTTTTCCTTTTTTTTTGCTCACACATACGCTCCAGTGCAGTGGTTGGTCCCCACTTCAGGCTATCAGTTGTCAGGCAGTGGTTGGTGCACACCTGCCCTGGATGTATCTGCCCTCAATTACGTCCAGAGGTCTGTGGGAAAACTCCCGAGTGTTCGAACTTACAACGCCCTTGCTATGGTGAAATTGAACTCAAAAACTGTAAACCAGTTGAAACCACCTCTCATGACTCTGCAGAGTGGGGCTCAGTGAACGCTAGTTCGAAGCTATAGTCTGGAAACTGTAAATCGAGTGGCGAGATTGAGAAGCGAGTCTGTGAAAGTTAGTTAAAAAGCTATAGTCGAGTTAGAAGCTGGTTAAAGCGAGTTAGAAACTGGTTAAAGCGAGTTAGAAGCTGGTTAACCTGGTTAAAACTTAAAAGCGTAGTTGAAAGCTAGGTGAATCGATAAAGCTTAGGTAAAAGTGAGCTAGAAGGTTAGCTTAAAAAGGTGGTTAAAAACGTTTGTCAAAAGTGTAGCTGGTTGAAACTTGGAAAGTTAGTTAAAAGCTTAGTTAAAAGTTAAAAGTTAAAACTTTAAAATTAAAAGTTAACATTGATGGGTAAAACTGAGCTTCGCTGTTGACAGTGCGTCTGGGTGTCAATAAATGGTTAGAACTTAGAAATTAGAACTGACAACTTGGAAATAAATTCAAATTAGAAATGTGAATTTGCAATTCTGTTCTGAGTAGCGTGATGCACAAGGGAAGTCGATGGTTTTTTTTTTTGTTGTTGTTGCGCCGTCCATGTTTTTAGTATCTTTATTATTCTGAGAAATGGGACGCTGGGCCCGGTTCACAGCATCTGTTATTCCCGAACAAATATAGATGTGAGCCTCGGTCCTTTCGAAAAAACTTAAAAAAAGACTAATTACTAATTACTAATTACCAATAGTGTAATAATGACGAATTACTAATTGCTAATTACTAATTATTACTAATTACTAATTACTAATTACCAATATAGCGAATTAGTAATTACTGATTGGTAATTAATAATTAATCAATATTTTGTATGGTGTGTAACTTGCTTACTAACTTGACTATATTCATTGATGAGAGGGTGCGGCCGGGGTATGAATCTGGCTGGCACCCTGTGGCACATGCATGCATGGCAGATTAAGGTGGACAATTCAGGACTGCTGGGACTCTATTGTCTGCAACGGAAGTGGGACTGGGACATGGAGCTGGGCCTTTTTCGCTTTTGTTTCTTGCTCAGGGATCATTTTTGGTATTTAAATTTTACATTTATTTATTTATTGTTGTGGCCTTCATGTTCATGAGGAATTTGGACAAATGTCTTGATTTACAAATTCCTTATCGATGAATCTGTTTGCAGTTGCAGCCCAATTCAGTTCCCAGCTCGTAGGACTTCGTTGCGCTTAGACAAAACAAGCGCTGGGGTTGGGTGGGGGGGGGAGGAAAGCTGAAGCTTTTCCGTGTCGATTGAAGTGTTGGAAGGCTTGTTTGCAGGGCCGCTAAATCTTTTTCAAATTTCAATCCAAGGCAAATAAATAAACTTTAATAAAGAAAAATACGTAAATAAAGGTTCAGGAATGACAAGACTGTTTTACAGTGGGTATTGTGCTTTTAGTCTTTTAGATCTTCTGTTGCAATTGTTTCAGTTCGTTATTAGGATTTCATTTTAGACAAAAGGTGCAGGCAATCTGTGCTACCAGCCGGGCCGCCCGGGTCACCTTGTTTGCCGGGGCGGCCCAGCCACGTGCAAGGACCAAAGACTGTCCCGGGAAAAAAAAAAAAAAAAAAAAAAAAAAAAAAAAAAAAAAAAAAAAAAAAACTGAAAACGAAATGTTAAGCAGTTTTGCCTCAGGGTCGCATCAAAATTCTTTACCGAATTTAACATAATCCTTTTTAGACAAATAAATAAATAAATAAATAGATAAATAAGGAATCCTTATTAGACAAAAGCACTTAAAAAAAAAAAGGTAGCGTTCAAGCTCCAATACAGAATGGAAGAGGCATTTTCTAACCCATAGCATGTACTAGAAAAAATGGGCCTCGCTGCACTACTCTCGACATGCACAAAAGACAAAAATCATGGCCGTGTATCTTTCCATATTCTAGTGGAAGATTCACTCTCGTTTTGCACATTTCGAGAGTAGTGCAGCGAGGCCCAATGACACACAGCTTTTACCACCCGATCGCATGCACAGCGAAGTATCCAAAAGCTCAAAGACAGTAACGTAAGCCGCGCCCCAGGTGCTAGTGGTGTCTGCTCTTATCAACACCACTAACACTGGTGKGGGCGTTTTGTCAAAAAAAAAAAAAAAAAAAAAAAGTCCGCATTTCGCTGTACAGTTGGCATTTTGCCGTAGAGTAAATGGGGCCTAAAAAGGTACTAAAAGGAATGTCACCGAATGTGATACTTTTTTCTACTCCCCCTTTTTTTTCTCTTTTCTTTTCCTTTTTCTTTTTTTTACTTTTTTTTCCTCTCTCTTTTTTTTTTTTTATAACGCGAAACTCAGCTCAGTTAATTGCGCACACCAAAACAGAGGCCGGGAATCCTCCATAACCGACCCGGACAAGGAGCAGAAAACGAAGATGTGGGTGTATGGGACTAAAAGCCAGAGACAGAAATGGCAAAACCCCGACCGCGGACCTGCAACCCACGGACCCCTTCAAAAAAAAAAAAAAAAAAAAAAAAAAAGAACACCGCCTCAGGAGGCCTGGAAACGACCTCACAACCCAAAAGGAAAAGCAAAGGAAAAGGAAGGAAAACCCACAAACAATCCTGAGAAACGATTCTAGCTACGTTACTCAGATATTCTGTGCTAACCAACCTACTATATGTATGTCTACGGGCGTCGCCGCACGGGACACGAAACGAAAAACGAAGCGATTGCATCTTCCTGCAGAAAATGGCCAGGTTCATCGGTTTGCTATAAACAGTAACGAGTGTATTTTGCCACCTTTCCTATACACACTTCCGCCTGTCTCCGGTGACCGATCCAATACCGAGTGTGCAGGTTCATTAAAAAAAAAAACGCAAGCTAGAAAAGCTGATGAACAGTTAAAAAAAAAGGGACAGAATTCAAAAGTGAGCAAGCATGAAGAGAGCGGAAAAATGAGACCGCGAATAAGTTTACTGACCTATCATTTTAGGTCCCAGTCAGCCATCTGCCAAATGAGAGTTCATCCTGTTGCTCTATACACACAATAGCGTGTCGCTCAAGCGCCAAGTCTTAGAGAACCATGTCTCAATCCCGAAAGTCTTAGAGAACCATCCCCCAGAATTCTCTGTTACCTTCTGATGTGATAAACTTCCTTCCTCAGATCACCGAGAATGGATCGTCTGATCCGCAGAAAAATTTCACACCGAATCCGTTTGTTAGACCCACTGTTTCCCATCAAAGTCTGTATCATTCCTTCCCGGCGTTCCCGCGCCAAATCACTGCACAGATTACAGCTCAGTCAACAAGAGCAGTATTACAGCCCTCAGAAACGTCTCTCTCTCTCTCTCTCTCTCTCTCTCTCTCTCTCTCTCTCTCTCTCTCTCTCTCTC